TCGGTAACGTGAAGTCTTCACAGTATTATCGCCCAATTCAAAGCATTCATTAAAATCTAGCTTATATATGCATGAGATAACGCTGAGGCTTGGCTGGAGGCGTGCCATGGTAATAATAAAGCAAAATTGCGGTATGACAACCATGGACGAAATCGCATATCGGTTTTAGCCCACACTGCTACAGACTGAATTGCAAATTAATTTATGATTAATTTATATTTAATCTATACGGGTATGAATGGATTACCAATCTGGGAGAGGGGGCGGGTAACATAAATTTAGTAAGGCTGTGCTGAAATCGCGTTGATTTATCTCATGTCTGTGTTTGTTCGCCTGATTTTCATACGCGCTTTATACCATGGTGTCCTTCAGGTCTACGCTATTATAGAGATCAAAATCGTACGTTGCATCGTTTGGACTAGCAACCGAATTTTACTTAGCAAACATGTATATGATTGGGCATTCACATGCACGGTTTGCCTGTGAAATGTCATTACCTTTCTGCTGGTAAATGCCAAGTGTCAGGTTAACTTTCTCTGGCCTTAATAGAAGCTGTTTGATTTGCCTTCCATCGGTTCATTTTTTTGGCGTTTATAAGGACTGTTCAGCTTCTTCGCTCAAGTGCTGCAAACAAATGTCAACTTCTAACGCGCACCTGATAGTTTTCTGGTACATGCGATGAAGCCAGGATAAAAATCAGCTTGGCAAAAGCCCAGGCTTTTGTACTTTAGAGAAAGGATATTAAGTATGTTCTGCATTGATGGCCGGTATGATGTGGACTTAAACACACAGATCGACCAGTCGAGGTCTGGATTGTTGCAGTTAAACCGGTGTATGGTGACATAAAAGATGCTGAGTGAGGAGACGAAGCCATCTCTCTTCAAACCTGTATAGGAACTTACGCATAGCTATGGTTTAGAGTGCTGAATACTGATCGAAGGAATGTGACGCCGGATGTAAGAGAGAAAAATGAAGCTTGTTTAAAAGAACTGTTGGAGTAACAACACTGGACAAAGTTCGGAATACGGCAGTGACATACTCCCGGTTGCGAGCTGATTTTTCTCCAGGCCGAAAGATCACAATTGCATTGGTTCAGACATGTGATGAGGGTCCCATAGGGAAGACTCTCCAAAAATACTCTTGGCAAACCCCAGAAAAAATGACGCGAGCAGATTGCGGATCAGACGGTTCGGTTATACAAGAAGCGCTGCCATTTTCATTGAAACCAATACGTGGA